TAATTTTATATGTTTTTTTTATAATTTTATATATATAAAAATTTACAAGCAAAATAGTATGACAAATCGTGTAACTGGTATATAGATAACTTTATTTTTTTTATTTATAAGTTAAAAATAAAAATTACTATTTTGTAATTCTTATCTATAACTATATACTAAAAAAATTTGTGTGTAATGATAACGTTTAGATTACTCATATAAATAAATTATGGAATAAATTGTGTAATTATATCTTTTAGATAACGACCAGGTAGGCAGGTGCATGTATCCTATTTATTTCACTTCGTAACTATTTTTTTAAAATTTAATGTGTAGCTATATTTAAGATAATCTTTATTATATTTGCGTTATTTTAGGTGATAAAAATTCTTAATTTTATTTAATCGCTCTACTTTAGTGTATAGCTATAAAGAAATTTTATTAGTCAATATAAGCTATTCAAGTTCAATAATATTTCACCTTCTTATACACTATTCGGGTTTATAACTATTTACTATTTAACTCATTGTGATTATTGATTCAGGTAAGTATAAAGAAAATTTTTAGAATAAGCTCACGTCCACGAATATTTATTGTCGCAGATTATCATAAAATTTGGGGTCTTGATTTGAAAATATAAGCCCTACCAAAATCCACCTGTACTCTTTTATTAATAATAATTCTAATCTTAAATATAAAAAAAAGCAGCCTAAAAATTTTTTAATTTTTTTTAGATACTATATATATATATATAATAAGCTACTCGGAATTCAACATAAATATGATGAGGATTTAGATTTGAGCGCTTCGAACAAGCTACTTTTCCGTGAACACTTCTGTACTTACTACCCAGTTCTTTTTTTTTACACACTATAATTCGCTTTAACCTATTGCTTTAAGTATGCTGAACGTTTTAATCTAATCGTTTAGAATTATTACTTAGATCTGCTGATTAATTCTTTTTTTTTTTTTTTTACCTTGGATATATTGTATGATTCGCTTTAATTTAGATAAATATTTATTTGATCTCTTAATTTGGTTCGGTTTAATGGAGAAAATTTACACTCTGTCTCTATTTAATAATTATATTTTATTCACTAATCGGCTTCATGATTCTTTACCATTTAGTTTACTTTATTGCACTGACTCAGGTAAATATGATGAGGATTTAGATCTGAGCGCCTTGAACAAGCTACTCTTATGTGAACACTTCTGTACTTACTATTCAGTTCTTTTTTTTACACACTATAATTCGCTTTGACCTATTGCTTTAAGTATGCTGAAAATTTTAATCTAATCGTTTAGAATTATTACTTATATCTGTTGATTAATTCTTTTTTTTTTTACCTTGGATATATTGTATAATTCGCTTTAATTTAGATAAGTATAATTATCATTTTGACAAATGTTTATTGTTTAATTTTATTCCTTAATTTAGTGTTATACTAAAATTTATCGATTTAATTCTATTTTTTTAAAACCGGATAACTTTATATAATTAAATCAGATATTCAAATTCTCATCCAGTGTAATTAATTAATTTACTTTTGTAAAAATCTGCATCAGATTTTAATCCGAATCTATTGTTGTTTTTGTATAAGCATCTTCTTATATAATACATAATAATTAACCAATTGGGGTTTCAAAATTAATGATTCGACGTTTAATTTCAAATAAAAATTAGTGGTATATTTATTTTACAAGAAGCAATATAAAATTCTATTTTTTTATTTTTTTTATGTATTTATTTATATAATCGCTTTTTGTATTATATTGTGAACTTAATTAATTTCTAGGAAATATTCGAATTTAATCCAAATCTGAAGAAGATCAGATTTAAATCTGAAGATCTGGCCCAAATATAAACATGCCTTCTATATACCGATACACTTTCTCTTATTCAAATCCGGTTCCAAACTCTAATTGAGCATCAAAACTAAATTAGTATTATGATCATACAGTATATAGTAGTACGCATACTGACATGAGCTAATTGATAGCACATGCTTCTGATATAATTTAGTAGTATTAATCAAAACATCAATATATATAGAGTATATATTGTTATTGTTACCCCCATTTTTGTTAGTGCCACCCCAGATATCAAAAAGTGCTCCGGAAGAGGTATTTTCATTAAGTAAAACCTTATTTTGGCCTTAATCAAAGTTGTTCATCAGGCCTTTTATATATTTAAATATTCAAATTTAACCACTAAATAAATAAGTATAAAACTTATCTTTGATTTCAAGTCTTGCTCTATACTTATTCTTTAAAACTTTATATATTTATATTATTCAAATAATAATAAATTTGTATAATATTATCTTTGCTTCTAACCTTTACTTTATATAAGTTGTATTATAATCAAAGCTTATTAATATATACAATTTAATATTTTTATATATAGTATTTATACTTTAGTTATAATCTTACAGTATTATTATTTAACAATAATTATATTAACAATATCTATTTAAACTGTGCTTTTTGACTTTGTTTAAAATTTTACTATAAAGTAATTAATAATTTAATTAGTAATTATATATATTATTATTATATTAAATTTTTAACTTTTATAGTTTATTATATTTATTGAATAATTTTTTGTTTTTTAGATTATAGCAACATCTTCTAATAGCTCTACATCATCAAAAGAACGTCAAAAGCAACTTAGTCATGAGCGCTAAAAATGGTTTAGAAATAAAAATAGAGAAACTACTTTACACTTATTTGATAATGTTTTTGAAGAACTTCAATCCTTACTTTATACCGAAGTTGTAGTTGAAACTGGTGAAACTCCTGTTATAAATACTAATTCTGGTTCTGATTCTGATGACCTTTCACCTTTACCTAATACTGAAGTTCCTACAATTACTAATCTTGAGTTTACTAATACCCAAAGTAATCTAATTTCTCACTATGATAAAACCAAACGTCATGATATAGGTAGAATGGATCAGACCTGTCGATATTGTAAAGCTAAGTTTTGGATGATTAAAAAGATCAAAATAGTGGATGTGCCGCTCCAAAATTTCCTCTTTGTTGTGCTAATGGCAAAGTGTAATTACCATCTTTACTTGAACCTCCACTCTATTTACTAAATCTTTATACTTTAACTAATTCTGATATAGTTGAGTTTCGTAAACATGCTAGAGGTTATAACAGTGCCTTAGCTTGTACATCTTTTGGTGCTAATGTAGATAACCAATTTTTGGGACATGGCATATTAAATTTTCGAATTCATGGTCAAGTTTATCATTTAATTGAATTATTATTACCAAATGAAGGTTACACACCAGCATTTGCTCAAATATATATTTATGATACTGCAAATGAAATTACAAATCATCATAATGTAATGAGGAATTAAATGAAAATATTTTACAGAGTTTACAGAATATGTTAGATATTTGCAACCCATATATTCAAAATTTTTGTCAAGTAAGAGATATTATACGTGATAATGCAACTACTGAAATTTCAATGATAATTCATGGTGATAGAAATCAAGATATTCGTCATTATAATGCTCTATCAGCTCCTGATGTAGCTGCAATAATGGTAGGTGATGGTCATGAGGTAAATCCAACAAATCGGGATATTCTTCTTAAAACACGTGATGGAAATTTGCAAAAAATAGCAGAGGTTCATCCTTCATATGATTTACTTCACTATGTATTATTATTCCCTAAAGGTGATGATGGATAGCATACAAATATACCACTTATAAATGCTTTAAAAAGAGAATGAGTAACAACTATGCAATTTTATGTTTATAGATTACAAATTAGAGATGGTGATTGGATACAGCATGCTGGCCGTTTATATCAACAATATATTGTTGATCAATATGCTAAAATAGAACAAAATAGTTTAATTTATCTTAAGCATAATCAAACATCACTACGTGCTGAATTTTATCAAGGTATTATAGATGCGGTACATGCTGGGGATTGCAGTAACACTATTGGTTATTGTATAATCCTTCCATCATCTTTTACAGGTGGACCACGTCAAATGTATCAATTATATCAAGATGCAATGGCAATTATTACTCACTTTGAAAAACCAGATCTTTTTGTTATATTTACATGTAATTCTAAATGGCCAGAAGTTACTAGAGAATTATTATCTCATCAAAATGCTGCTGATAGGCCCGACTTAATAGCCCGTGTGTTTTATATAAAATTACAAACACTATTAAAAGATTTGTGTAATAATCATTGGCTTGGTAAAGTTATTGTATATGTATATGTAGTAGAGTTTCAAAAACGTGGTCTTTCCCATGCACATATTTTATTAATTCTTGCTTCAGATAACAAATTACAAACTATAGAAGTTATGACTCTATTGTCTCTGCTGAACTTCCTGATATTCACACACATCCTCTTGCTTATGAGACAGTAACAACTATGATAATACATGGTCCATGTGGTTTACTAAACTCTGATGCACCATGTATGAAAGATGGTGTTTGTACAAAACATTATCCTAAAACTTTTCAAAAGCATACTTTAGAAAGTAATAGTGGATATCCTATTTATCACAGACGAGACAATGTATGCTTTGTTAAAAATAGAATCCCATTAGACAATACATGGGTTGTGCCACACAATATCAAATTATGTACAAAATACAATGCTCATATTAATGTAGAAATTTGCAGTTCTATAACAGCTATTAAATATCTATATAAATATGTATATAAAGAGTATGATCGAGCAACTGTTACATTTGCTCATTCCAACCAAGCCAATAATCAACAACTTTCACCTGAAGTTGTTCAAATTGATGAAATCAAAATGTATTTAGATGCAAGATACGTTTCAGCTTCAGAAAGTATTTGGAGAATTTTTTATTATAAATTGCATAATCATAGTCCAAAAGTACAGAGGCTTGCTGTTCATCTTCCTGAACATCACTATGTTACATTTCAAGATGAAGAAAATCTTCAAGATGTTGCTAACCGTACTAAAAATCGTATAACAACCTTAACAGCTTGGTTTCAGGAGAATATGGAAAACCCAATAGCACGTATATATGCCTATGTTGATTTTCCTTCTTATTATACTTGGAATCCTTCACACTACAAATGGACACCTAGAAAAACATCAGCAACTATGATTGGTCGACTTTATATAGTTCAACCTTCAGAAGGTGAAAGATATTACTTACGAACTTTACTTAGCTATGTAAAAGGTGCAACTAGCTTCGATGATCTGAAAACTATAAATGACTATATATGCAGTAGCTTTAAAGAAGCTTGCTCTTATCTTGGTCTTCTTCAAGATGATACAGAATGGGATGCCTGTTTGCTTGAAGCAACTTTTGTACAAACAGGACACCAATAATGACAGCTTTTTGCAACTATACTTTTATTTTGCCAACCTGTGAAACCTGAGTTGTTATGAAATAATCATAAAATAACATTGTGTGAAGATATTTTATATCGAGCTAATGTGCAATTACAAGATCCTGATGATGCAAGTAATATTCATGCTACAATTAAACATGAAGCTCTTACTCAATTAGAAAATATACTTTTACTAAGTGGAAAATCTTTAAAAATTTTTCCTAATATGCCAATTCTCTCTATTACTTCAAATATCAGTAATAATGAAGAAGAATTAAATCATTTAATACGTGAAGAGAGATCTTATAATATAGCAGACTTAGAAGCTGAATTACAACGCAATATACCTTTATTAAATAATGATCAATATGCAATATTTGATGCTATTATAAGAGCAATTGACAATGAAGAAGGAGAATATTTTTTTATTGATAGACCAGATGGTACAGAAAAAACTTTTTTATATAACACTTTACTAGCAAGTGTTAGATCACGTCGTTACATTGCTTTGGCAGTAGCCTCTTTAGGAATTGTAGCACTTTTAATAAAAGGTGGACGTATAGCTCATAGTCGTTTCAAAATTCTACTTAAACCTAATAAATCTTTTACATGTAATATTTCACGAAATAGCAAAGAAGCTTATTTAATCAGTATTGCAAAACTTATTATTTGGGATGAAGCCCTAATGACTAATAAATTTGCATTTGAAGCTCTTGATAAAACATTTTGTGATATTATGCAAGTAGATAAACTATTTGGTAGAAAAGTTATTGTTTTTAGTGGTGATTTTCATCAAGTACTACCTGTTGTACCTCGTGGCTCCCGTGCAGATATTGTTTCAGCTAGCTTACCTCGCTCTTCATTATGGAGTAATATGAAAGTTATGAAATTAACAATTAATATGAGACTTTAGCAAACTAATGATATTAATGAAAATCAAAAACAAAAAAAATTTGCTGAGCTTCTTTTACAAATAGGAGATGAAACATACCCAATTGTTGCAGATACAGAAAATAGAATAACACTTCCTTCTGATATAGTTGTAGCTGGTGGAATGTTATCAGATCTTATTAATAATGTTTATCTAAATTTCCAATAATATCAATTACTTAACTGAAAGAGCTATACTAACTCCGAAAAATAGCAATGTTGATATAATTTCTGATCTAATGATAGATCAGTCCCCTGGTCCAATTTCTATATATCCCAGTGCAGACTCTACAGATTCAGCAAATGATGGAAATGTTCATCTATACTCACCTGAATTTTTAAGATCTTTAAAAATTTCTGGTCTTTCTCCTGGTGAATTAAAGTTAAAAGCTGGTATACCTATAATGCTTTTACATAATTTAAATTCAGAGAAGGACTTTGCAATAGAACTCGCTTAATTTGTTGAGCTCTTTATAGCAAAGTAGTTGTTGCTGAAATTATTACAGGATCTCATATTGGTAAACATGTATTTATACCTTGAATTTCATTATCATCTTCTCATACTGAATTACCTTTTATTTTAACAAGACGCCAATTTCCAGTACAGCCTGCTTTTTCTATGACTATTAACAAAGTACAAGGTCAGACATTAAATCAAGTTGGTATCTATTTACCAAAACTAGTTTTTTCACATGGTCAATTATATGCTGCTTTATCAAGAGTTACTTCCTATCTTTCTATTAAAATTCTTACATGCAATGATCCAAATATAACTTTAAACTATTATCATACAAATAATGTTGTATATCGTGAAGTATTTTTGAATACATAATAATATTTAAGTAATTTTCTTGCAATATTTCTTTATTTTGTAACTATATTAATCTAAAAACAAAACAAAATATTATATCTATATAACTAGATTATTTATATATACAGTATTTATATAATAATTATAACTAAATTATTTATATATATTTATTATTTATATATATTTATATAATAATTATAAAAGGTTTTACTATATATTGATTTTTATTTTAAAATAATATTTAAAAATTTTGTAAGTTTATTCCTGTGCATTATTGCACGGGTTTACAACTAGTTTTCAAATATTATTTTGTAAAATTTTTTTAAATATTTTAAATTTTTATAAAATTAGATCATAAACTGCTATTTTAAATTTAAGTGCTCATATTTGAGTGCTTATTTTTATGGTTTAAGGGATAAAGCCTACACCCTCTCACTGGAAAAATTTAGTTATTCCAATTGGATATTTAGATCTAAGCTTTTGTCTACCTTCTCTTTACCCAATGATATTAGCTAATATTTAACACTTCTTTAATATATACATTAATACCAATATTATATTTAACAATACTGTTAGAGAGTATTAAAATAATAAAATAAAAATAAAAGTTTGTTTTAAAAAACTTATTAATTGATATATCAAGAGGTTAAACTTTTGATATTAATCCCCTAGAGATTATTACAATATTAGTATTTTTATTAAAAAGATTAGTTTTAACTAAAAACTTTTATTATTCAAATATTTCTAATAAAAGTTGCAAGCATATACTTTATTAATATTTATTTGAATTAAATTACATTATTATAAAATTTCTATTTGACTTAAAGAAATTATTTTAAACTATTGTAAAATTTCTATTTGATTGATGGAAGGAAAAAGTAGCCCAAAAAGAATTTATTATAAGTAGTGTTTTTGAGTTTTTAGTATATGGTATATAACTTTTCTAAATTGCATTTACATAGTAGTTTATTTTTATTTTATTTGCCCAACCTTTTTTATTAGCTTTAACTACTTCACTAATTAGAAATTCAAGATGCAAAATATTTTTTAATTTAAAAATAATTATAAGCAATAACTTTTTACTATTTGCTATACAAGCAAATACAATAGTAAAGCATAATTTTTTAAGACTACATATTCTAATATCAATATAATTTATTCTCTATAATATTAATAGTTTCATTGTTTGGCATATCAAAGGCAAGGGGTGTTTTATCCATTGTTGTCTATTAGTAGTAATAGATAATTGTGCTAAACTAATTGATTAATTGATTTTCAAGTAATCAAATAATTAATTTCGATTAATCTATTAGTTGACTATATATTAGTATGTATATATGTACTAACTGCTATAAATATGGTATGAGTATTTATTTAAATTGACTGATATTGGGGTATTATAAAGAATACTGTAGTATTTTTTACTAGAGAAGCTGCTTTTAATTGCACTGTGGTATAATTTACAGACTTTAACTTATTATGTAAAAATTGAACTCATTTAGTAAGCTCAGTTTTAATATTAGAGCAAGCAGACCATGCACTAGCATTTAAACATTTAACATGAGGTTGAGCTAGCAATAGCTCTTCTTTTTTATTATATTATTTCTAGACTTGCTTTGGTTAAATATTAAATTTGTTAGCTGTTCTACAAACAGTAGCACCCAGAGCAGTTTTAAGATAAGCAATCACAAAAAGTTTTCTTGCAATGTCTTCTGTTAATTTTTTTTTGTTGAAAACTTGTTTAAGAATTCTTTCTAAATCCATCATAAAATTATTGAATTTAAAAAAATTTTTTTATTCCAAGACTTGTTTTAAAAAAGAAGCTTATTGTGCATAAAAGATACAACTTAAAAATTTTAATACTTATATAGTAAATATAAGTAAAAAAAAACAACTAGTAAACAAAATAAAAAAACAATACAGTAAACAAAAAAAACATGTTTGTGCATTATCTAAACATTTGGGATTGAGTTAATAGAAATCAAGCAAATATTTTTTAATAAGTTTTTTAAAACTTTAAACAAGGACAACTTAACAAAAACTTAATAAAATTTAATAAAATTTTTTTTAAATTAATTTTACAAGTTTGTAAAAATTATTTAAAAAAATTTTTATTGAACTTTGTCAAGTTTTTGCTGAGTTATTCTTGTTTAAAGTTATAAAAAATTTTTATTATAAAAATTTGCTTGATTTCTATTGACTCACCCCCATTTTACAAAATGCAAAGAAACTAAAAAATGGAATATATAAATCAAGAATTTTACATCATAGCCAATTCCATCTAATATACCCCCTTACATAAGATCCTAATATAATATACCCACTGCCATACAATATACCCAGGGTATGAATCAAATTTTGATCACATGGAATGTAAAATACCCGGGTAACTTGCACTGCGTTTTATGGTAAATCGAAAAGAGTGATAGCTTATAGAATTAAAATAAAAAAAACCACTAAAATTAGTTAAGAATTCATAGAGAAATCTTGGCATAAAGTTTTAAAAACCTCTAAATTTTAAAAGGATTTTCATAGTCGATTATCCCCCGATGTATTTTGACCCGGAATTTTGGAGTTCCTCCTGTAAAATATAAAAAAGTCACGGCAGATTCTATATTTTTATTGCCTAAGAGCGACTATCAAAAAAATAGGCTGGAGTTACACAGCATTTAACGCCTATTAAGTGAAAATTGTTCTTGGCCAATTTTACCATAATGGGGGCTTGTTTTTTTAAAATTTTCTATTTTGTAAAGAAAAATTAAAAAATTAATTCCAGCCGGAAATTAATGAACAATTATGTAATGTGGGCCAAAATTTTAAAAATCCTCTTCCGTTAGCCAATCAAATACGAGGATCTTCCGTGACAATTTTGTTGCGGCAGCTATGGTTAATGTTAAATCTTGGTGCTGCGCCCCACCGGTGGCCATGATGTGTTACCAGGCTCATAGCGTCTATGATGAACACTCGCCATTTCCGGTAGAATACATTGAAAAGGTGGAAAAGGAGGAAAAAGTGTAATTTATGGGAATAATCCTTCGTGATTCAAACAAAATTCGTCTCGTAATAACTCTACCTTTTCTACACTATAATAAAAATACTTACATCCCGATCTACTGCTTAAGTGGTATAAGTAGTACGATCTTTGCTCTTGTTTTTCTTGTTTACGTGACAATCGTAAAGTGTATCATTACTCTGTCCGGTTGATTCTCAACATACTGAGATCTGCTGTGGTCGTTGTTTCCAACTCTCTCACCTTATAAAAAAATAGTGCACGGAATTTATGGGTACGTGACAGCACGAGAGTATACAGAACTATATGAAATATAACACGGGATAGTGCACGGGAAAACGTGTACTGGGCACGTAAAAAAGGCGCGAATTCCGTGCAACAGTGCACGTAATAACGTGCTATTTGGGCCTGTATTATTTCACCGATAATCACTTCATATACACCGCATTTCATCGACAATTATCCATCGACAGGTTCATTTTACCGACAGTCTATTTCACCGAAGCTGATTTCACCGGCAAGTTTATTTTTATAAATTATATTAACTTTAACTATAATTCTAACTTAATCCTAATGACATTGACCAGAATTGCTTGTCTGTAAAACGAGCTTCGGTGAAATAAACTGTCTGTGGAATGAACTAATCGGTAAGTAATTGTCAGCGAAATGTGGTGTCTACGAAGTGATTGTCGGTGAGTTTATCCGGATACCGATTTACGCCCATACCTTACAGATCTGGCATATTAATCTGCATAATTAGAAACGTTCTTGGCAGATGATAATTATACAGACTAATGTGGTTAAGAAGCTAAATAAGGTAAACAGCTCATATTAAATACCGTATTCCTCCGAAAATAAGCACCCCCAAAAGTAAGCACCCTACAATTCATATATACCCGAAAATAAGCACCTCTTATATAATAGAAATAAGTAACTAAATATCAAATTATTCAAATTATTAGTTGAGATTATACCCGAAAATAAGCAACCTTATAGCAAAAAAGGGGGGTGCTTATTTTCGGAGGAATGCGGTACTTAAATCAATTAAATCAATAAATAATCGCTAAACTTGGAGATTAAAGGTATTCTCAATGTGATTAGCTAACTACCGAGATCATACATAAAGCACTACGATTAATTGAAGCGATTTCTAATGTAAATTTGCTAAAGATTCATTTCGCAAAATTCGGATAATAAATTTTAGCCAATCAGAACAAGTCTATGACAAAAAAAGGTGAATCCAATCTTTTTTTCAATGAACCTACTTACCGATTGAACTACTCTCCACAAATTAGAAATTGAGCTACGACCTATTAATTATGTTCTTGAGAGAAGTTTAAATCTATACGAAAACGTAATATATTAATATTATGCGAAAACCTGACATTATATGACGAAGAGCTTTGTAGACCAATTTAATCCTATTAAAGATTTTAGAGCTGTTAATGCTTGTATTGCTTTAAAATCATTATTACTGTAGCTATGTAATAATATTTAATATAATGCTACTGTAGTACTGTATCGGTACAGTATTACTCGCAATTCTTGAATGTGTGCCAGCATTAATTAGTCCAAAAAATTTGCGTCAATTAATAAATTCCAATGATAACAATAATAAAATTATAAATTTTAATGAAAAGAAAACACCATTTTTTAACGTTATTTATCTCGAATCAACATTCTTATAATTTTCAAAAAGCAAGTCACCCGTCATTTTTTTCATAATCTTTAGCTTCTAATATTATTGGTTTGAATTCAAAAAAATACATGTATTCTTTATTTTTATAATATTTGAAAAAACTTTCTCATAATCTACACTGAATCTATCTTTAAAAAAAGAATGATAGTAATGTTCCTTTGTTATTGTAATATACTCTACTTACACATTAAGAACGGTCAACTCCCTTTATAATGGTACCTTAAAAATTATAATATTTCTGTTATGTCTTCAATTCAAAAAGAAATATAGAAAACATTCAAAGCACATGACGGCTGATTATGGTGGAAGTTTTCGTTGAAAAAGAGAATTTTATGACTGCAATGTATATAAAGAGATCATTGTGGCTGAGTAATATGCCATCAACCTGGCACACATTCAAGAATTGCATCATGCTCTAGCCATGACACAAGCTGTGGCTTCAGCTACAGTATAACTTTAAAAACCCGATTCAGTTGTCAACTAAAACTGGCTTCGGATAAGCCGTTAACGGCTCTAAAGACTACCGCTATTTGAAATCAGCTGACAACAAATACATATTTGGTTAGTTTAATTACGAAGAACAATAATAAAAAAAAAAAGCTCATTTTTACAAATGATCGTCATTCACCTTAATTGAGGCAAAAACCTGTTAAAGCAATAGAAAATACAAGTTGAGCATTCGTTATGATTTTGCGGACATACATCATTAAAAATGGGTACGTGTTATTTCGCCGAAAATCACTTTATCGACAGCTCAGTTCACCGACAATTAATTCACAGATAAGTTTCATTTCATCGACAATTAACTTATCGACAAGTTAATTTCACCGACAATTATTTCACTGACAGCTTATTTCACCGACAAGTATTTTTTTATAAACTACATTGACCTTAACTCTAATTCTAACCTGACACTAAAAACAGTGACCAGAATTACTTTGTCGGTGAAATGAGCTGTCAGTGAAATAATTATCGGTGAAATGAACTTATTTGTCGGTGAAATGAACTTGTCTGTGAATTAATTGCCGGTGAAGTGATTGTCGGCGAAATGCGCACCACCCATTAAAAAATGCCTATAAATCATGCATTTCGTGATATTATATGTATATAATATGAACAAACTAACTGCATATTAAGTAAAATTTCGTAAGGAATTTTTTTTTATTAAGATACTCAGAGCAACTTCATCAGTGAAGTTATGAGAAATGGCAATTTTTTTAAAAATCATTTATTGATCTTTCGCTCTCCACAAAGCGATCCAACATGTATGCAACGTACACATACGTGTCATCTGAACGTGCCGTTCTGCATGATATAACGTGCCACACGATCTGTGGTATTTCGTGCATTCCCGAAACCAACCCGGACCCCTTTTCTTATAGGATTGGCTACCACAGTAAGAATAGTGACTGCATATTTAGAATTAATGAAAGTTTTTTTTTTTTTTTTCATCCTATGGACTCAGAACTGTCATAAAAATATACATATATATCGATTTTGAGTTGGTCGTTATCGAGATATTATCGTTCAATGCTCAATAAAATTTAGGCGATTATTAAATCCAAACTTCTACCCACTAAAATCGATGAAAGGTAATTACCGAAAATTGTATATAATATTATTACTAGGATCGTTAATTTCATTAGCTTGACATATGAGTACCACCAAAGGAAAACCTGTCATCAGACTTACAATTATATTTTGTGTACAGTTGGCCGTTGCACGAATCACTCGTGACGTACAGTACATAATTTTATTTCATTTTTTATTTTATATTTGTTATTCGATTTCTGTTTCATTTACCTATTTGTAAATATTAGTATTAGTTTATTCCGGGCTTAGTACAGATTTGCATCTTGTTAGATCCTGTTAGGATATTGTTTCAGTGAGAAAACTGTAGCGGATCCTGAGTGAATTTGAACGAATTATGCCCAGTTAGAGGCGATTCCTGAGTGGAGGGAACGATTACTTGATAGATGGGAGCGGAAATTATGTAAAAGCAGCGATGACTGTGTAAAACAGTGAATTCGCACCACTTACCATCATGTATAAAAA